TCATAGAGAAAAAGACCATTGATGCCTGATGATGATGGCTGTCAAAGGCAGTCTTTGATGACATAACATTGTTTTTCATTTGCACAAACGATCATTCCTTGATTGTGTGAAAAAGAGCAATCTGTTTCCATCTGTTCTAAAATGTCATAGTTGTGTTCAAGCCAGTCACGTTGCTAGTAAAAAAAAAAAAAAAGCAGTTCATGCCCAGCATTACTCAGTAGAAATGCAGTGATCTGCTGAATGATGCGTGCTGAGAGCATGGTAGAGGAGGAGTGTGTGCTCACTGGAAGTCTCTCCAACTTGGATAAAGGTTAAACTGTTGTATGCTTCCTGATTAAGCACCAGTTTATTTGGGTTTAACTTTGTTTAAACAAACCTTGGCATTTAAGATAAGAGTGACACTTAGGGTTAAAGCTAAAGTGTAGCTAAAAATAAGATGGAGTAGCCCATTTAAAAGATTAAAAAGCACATTTTGCTCATCTAAAATGTATACATTTCTCCCTGAGTACTGCTGCTGAATGTTCTCGGTCTGATGGGCAGCATCATTGAATCCACACTTCTGAGCCCAGGTCATCCGGGACCCAGCCTGTGACTGGACAGTGAAAGAAGAAGCAGCTCAGTGATGAGCTCATCTCTGTCAAATACCTTCACTGATTGTATTTTATGATTACAGAGCTGCATTAATTTAAGAGTCTGAAGTGAAGGCTGTGTGTATATATTTATAGTAACTTCTTTATCCTCACTAAATATAATGCAATGTATTGTGGCTCTACATTCATTGCTTTTTGCACTACTTGCACATTCACATTTTAATACTGACTGCATGTGATACGTTTTTGTCTTTTAAAAATTAGGCTCAGGATTGTAGCAGGGTGTTTTTTTGTGGGCTGTTTTGCGCGCACAAATTTTTACTGTGACTGTATCATACATATTTTAGATGTGGAACGTCCTATAAAAAGTTATCACTTACCATCAACTTCATGTCCCCTAAACATAATTTTTCATTAACTTAACCCACAATATGAACCTAACTCTAAAGCTACATTCACAAGGGGCTTAATGCCTTGGCTGGGGATTTGTGCAGCCAGAGCCTGCGGATTCATGCAGCAGGTATCCCAGGTGTCCCTGTTCAGATCCAGCCTCTGTGCCTGTTCGAGGGACATGGTGACAACTGCTTCATGTGTCAGTGGCTGTCCTCAAGGTGCAACTATGTAAAGCGCTGCGTAAATTGTCGGCCTATATCAATACCAATAATAAGTAAATAAATGTGATCGTACATGGTACAGTTACCTGCGTTTTGGGATAGATGATTGTTCCTGGATGCTTCTAGCCTGTATCTAAAGACTATCCTCCAGCCCCTTGGTTCTCAACGGGTGGGTCGTGACCCAAAAGTGGGTCACGACCCCCTGTGTAGGGGGTCCCTGCATGCCTTCCACTTTTCTAGGCGAGAGGCTCCTCCGCATTGGTCTAGACTCACGAGCCAGTTCAAGATGCTCAGTGTCTTGAACCCATTTCTTAGGTTCATGTCTAAGGGTACATTATGATTTTTAGTATGTTTCATCATCTTCATTGTGTTTTTGGTTTTTTTTTCTATCGCAATGTAGCTCTCAGAACTGTTGATCTGCATTTCTGAAGTGCTTTCTTCTTTGTTTTTCTTCAGCCATTGATTCCACACTCCACCCTCTTTACCTGCATTGCTATGTAATGTGTCTGCCCTAGTTTCTACAGTAAAGATGTTTTTTTTATGATAAAGCCTGTCATGGCAGTAAAAAGGCACTATACAGCAGTGATGCAGACTCCCGAGTGTGCAAGATCGCATTTCTGATGGTGTGCATGAGGTGGGCCAGCCCTCTGTCCTATTGCTAACTGTACAGAGTTGCATGTTATCGCACCCCAGGATTTAAAGTGTATTTTCACTTTAGCGAAAACCCTACTTTATTCCAGCATGTCTTTAGAAAAAAAATATATACCTTTTCTAGCGGTTTGGTTTGAATAGATGACAGCGTGCAAATAAGTGGACAGACTGAGGGTCTTAAACTCTTTGGTAGGACAGACAGTCCTGCTCATTTAGTATCTAAGGAAGAATGCTGCCAGCACACCACAAAAAGGTTTAATAATGGCAAACAAAACTCCCCCAGCCCCTCATATAGTGAGGAGGATTTTTCAGTGCTACAGTTTCCAAAAAAGAGCATTTAAAAAAGGTAAGCTGCAACAGATAAGTTGGTGTTATCCAAATTTGGCTTCAAAAGTGGAATGTTACTTTAAGACACTGGAGAAGGGTGGAAAGATATGCACACCTCTACCACCTAGATGCCTGCATTGTAAAGTTGCAGTATCTTCTTTGCCATTAGGATAAGACTACCAGGAGTTAAAAACAGTATTGATAATTGGGAGGTAACCGCATAACTTAGGCACTTGTTTTATTGTATAATGGAACGATGATTTGTTATGTTTTCATAACATTGCATGTCCTAGCAAAACACCATGATGTAACTTTGCTACATACTGTTGTGAAAAATGTTTTTTTTGTGTTGCGGTGCCAGAAAAACAAACATTTTGTTACAAACTACCTCAAATGTAAACTTTTTACTGCGTGCCGTGGACATTTTTGAGGGCCAGGGAATGTAAAGTGCAAACTGTCTTATTTAAAAGGGCCAATTGGCTGAAATCTCAAACTTTTTTTTATAATTGTATGTATTATATTATATTAGACATTTTTATTAGTTTCATGGATTTAAAATCTGAATTTAAAAACTCCAAGCCAATATAATATAACTAAACTTTTATCTAAAATGACACACCAAAATTGGATTATTAATTTTGTTAAAGTGGTGGTGCATGTCACCAATGACGGACATTTTTTCTCCTTTTTGTGCTGCGTTGTTACTCTGGGGAAAAGTTCCACAATGGATTTATCCTGACAAAGGATGTATGCGGTTAAGTGCACATAACCTGTTGATTTTCACTGTTCACGTTATGTGTGTTTGATTACGTATTGTTAATACCTGGTGTATGTATATCATACTGCCAGTGGCGTAACAATCACTATAGCAACCCAGGCGGCCGCTATGGGGCTCGAGGCACAGTGGGGCCTGGCCAGATGCCGTGCGGGCCGCCTGGGTCACTATGGGATCAGTGGGGCCCGTGGTCGGCAGCAGGGGAGGAGGCGGGTCCGGCGACTGAGGAGGCGGGGCCCATCAGCGACCGTGGACGAAGAGGAGGCGGACAGATAAGGAGTGTGACCAGCCAACCTGAGGGTGACCCTACAGAGCCCACCATAAAGAGTCTATAACTAGAAATCACGGGGGCCCCATACAAAATTTTGCTATGGGGCCCTGTGATTTCTAGTTACGCCCCTGCATACTGCATTCTAATTTAGCATCAAATCCACATTTATACTCTATACTTATTATGAACATACTCTGCAACCCTGAGAAGTCTGACACATTTTGGTCAGTTTGTGAGATGGCTACACCTACAAAACTATAATTTCTGTTGGTTATATAGCATTGGTAACAATTCTTCTTTATCCAGCCAGCCTGCCTAGTAGCATTCCCACGTTTCATTTGTCATGTGTAGTTTATTTGGGGATTCTCCTTTTTTTTCAGCGTTGCTGTAACATGATTCTATTGTGAACAATGTCTGTTATCTAGCAGTTTGGCACCAGTGATTGTATGTCTGTGCTTTTGGTTCTAAGAAATTGTGACACGGATCACCGCCAAGGTCAGAGCTGCTGATCCTCATATTTTCCAAAACGTATGGCCTTGATATGAACATCCTACGTTTTGTGGTTCGCCCTCCCCTGTCTGATGAAAATTATCACCATCAGGATTTTAGATTATATCAACTTGTTTGGGACATGTGCCATTAAAATGCTCACTTTTCATTCAGCAGTTAGAAAATTCAGCTCCCATAATGTGATTGGGGCTTTTATCTATTTTATTGTAGTTTTTGCTGTGCTATTAGTCACACATTTCTTTCTCCTTCTGTCATTGGGCTTCCACTGTTAGAAATAAGATTTTATACTGCAGAAGAGTAAGGTTTTACTGTATCACGCTTTCAGTCTGACACGCAGTTGCAAGTTCCAACCTTTTATTGAAGTTCCATACAACGACTCGCATGGCAAAGTCGCTTATGCGTTTCAGCCACCAAGGCCCTTAGTTATGGCTTTGACTAATGCTCTTGGCAGCTGTGTCCTATTATGTGATCATGGTAGCCACAGATGCACCACAGGTACATTTTTGATTGCAGTTTATCTAAATATGCGAGCGGTAATGAACTCTCAAACGTTTTTTCAAGGAATCCAGATCAAACAAATATACATTGCACAGCAAACTATTTCTTTACATTTTTGCCCAAACACTTAGTCATAGTTTCCAAACAGCTGACTCCAACTCTCTCGGCTTCCCTGAACTTCCTGTCCAGTACAAGATTACAAGTGGCAGAGCAGTCTCCAACAGCCATCCATCTACTATTTCGGTGAGGGGAGTGTCTTGCCTTGCTGTGCCTGTGTGTTTTGTGAAGAAACACAATGGTGGCTCCATAGCACCCTGCAAGGGAAAGGAGCAACCCTAAAACAGGACATCAGGACCAGTGCTCAGGGGATCAGCTGATTCTGCAAGACACTAAAACTTTTAAACATCAGTGAGCAGCGTCCATTGTAACTGATTTAATCAGCATTTGATATAGCTTAAAAATATTCAATATGACTTTAAGGTACACAATAGAAGCAAGGTCCATGCTCAAGCCTTGAATGCTAACTGGATTTAGAGTTAGAAGTATTCCTGGTTTAGCACACTTTTGGTTTCGACACTGCTAATTACAAATCGAAGAGCTTGAAGTTTCTACTTCCCATGCAGCAGTATGTTTGATCCAGACATTGCATACTGTAATCCTTTGTATTGCTTTTAATTCATGATTACAGCAGCTTCTTAATTTTGAAAGTATTTCCTTTCAATCTGGTGCTTTTTAAGTAAACATTCTTTCATTTTGTTTTTCAGTGGCAAGCTTGTTTCTCCGAAATGGAAGAACTTCAAGGGCCTGAAGCTGCAGTGGAGAGACAAAATCCGTCTAAACAATGCAATATGGCGAGCGTGGTACATGCAGTGTAAGTGCAGCTTGCCTTCCAGCATAGGGAATCTCTGAGATCTTGAAATATGTTCTGTTTCTCTGGCCATTCTTTACTTTCTGAAACTGAAGTTGCACAACATCGCTGAGGGCTTGGCAGTTTATTTTAAGAAGGAATTAGTCATTTCTAAAACAATGGATGGATTTACAAATGATATGAACTGCTGAGTGAATAAGGAATTAAGTGTTTTAAAGAAGTTTTTCTAGTGAAGGTGTTAAATTCCAGCAACTTTTTTTAAATTTCAAATAGAGTGGGGGGAAGGATTAGAACCTCTATTCTAGTCTGTTACTCTATTAAGCAGTCTACCGTACGACTGTGTGTCTGTGGCACCCATATGTCCTAAAGACAAGAAGTGACAGAAACGTGGCTCACCCAGGACAGCAATAAAACTACCAGATTCTAAACTGTGCTGAAAAAGTGTTTGCGTTTCTGCCTGTGTCTCCATTGGATATGTTTCCCAACACTTCCTGTTCCTTCTACTTACGGTTATTTGGGCATGAAGTCCCCAAAAGGGCCACAGACCACATTAAAAAACCACACAAAAGTGGAAATCGTTCTTCACCCTATCCAAAACAAAAATAATTTTGGCTAGCCCTCAAAAGATGCCCAATGTATGTCAGCTGGGTGTGGTAAGAGATGGTCTTTTTGATCTTTTGCATTGTGGTCTAATTACATTTTAAAAGCTGTGTTGTGCCCAAAGGACAAACATGTGAATATTTGTGTAAGGTTGCATAGTGTCTTGCCTTTTGTTCATGCCTTACTGAATACAAACCTTAAAATGAAGAAATCGTGAAATACTAGCGTACCCTCCACTTCTTACTGCACTGTAGTTTTCAGTTTTTTTTCTTCTTCATCATGTCATCTTCCTAACAGGTGATATTGTCAGTTCTTTAAAGTGAACCTGTGTCCTGATCATGCACACTAAAATATTTTTAAATTATATCAGCAGTAAAAGCACTTTAAAATAAATATTTAAATAATATCAGCAGTCAAAGCACTTTTTAATTAAGTTCTTATTATTCTATATGTCAGCATGGTGGGAAAAATATCAAAGTTTACAAAACCTTGACTTGGCTTATTTTTTCTCTTTGAGAAAATCCTGGCCGGCTGCTAATCTTTTTTTATTGTAAACAATCCGCAGGTGTTTTGTAAGCTGTTAGAAACTGACTGAAATCTGACTCTAGAATGGGGTCATGTTGTGATGCCTTTGTCCTGCCGACTGCCTCTCAAAATAGAGCAGCAATGTGAAACAGCCAAGGGAAGTCCTAGGCTCCTCCTCAGCTCTAACATGTCATGACGCAGCTGAGAGGAGGACCTAGGAGGATTTTTCTACACTCTACCAGGCACCACAGTATCTGGTCTGGGGAGTGAATTCTTACATGGGGAGGGTGAATTTGTGCTTCATACTGAACTCTGTTACTTTTGACCTGTGAACTCTTGGTTACTTACTACTGACTCCTGCACTCTGCATTACATTCTATTGACCCCTTAACGTTGAGTTACTACCCGACTCCTGAACTCTTAAAAAAGTTCCTTTTGTTTTTTTAATGAGGCCTTGCTAGGTTAACTCCTTAAAGCACCCTGGTGATCGTTTTAATCTCTTCTATGTTCAAGTAGATTGCCACTCTCCAGGGTTACCAAGTCTTGCTTTAGACTTTGTTGTGATCTTTGACAAGGAAATAACTTTGCGTTTAAAGCAGCTAGAGTAGCCAGGGCTTGTTTTAAACCTCTTTTACTACTCGTTAATTAAATGTAAATCGTTTAATGTGTGGGCATAGGTGCACTTTAACTTCATGTCCTAGGCTGACAACTCTCCCCAAGCAGAGACAGTGTTGCCACCGTAGGATGCAGTTCTGGGTAGACATGAATGTATATATGTATTCCTTCACTATTTCATGATCTTTGAAAGTATTGCCGTTATAACTTGAAATACAAAATGCTACAATCCTCTAGCAAGAGGTCAGTATTCGGTCACTTGAAAATACTCCTACGATATATAATTAGACTCTATTCAAATCATTTTTTTTTTTTTTTTTTTATGGTTTCATGCTCCAAACATTTACAATGCCAACAAACCCTTTTCAGGTCATAGTTGGAGAGAACTTTAATGCCTTTGCAGTCCTGCACAAAACAGGCAACATCATGTGAGATCTTTGACTTTCACATCTGCTCAAAGACAGTCCCTCCTTTTACATTGACAATATATACAGGACAATATATTATCCATTGAAATCTCTTAGCTCACTTCACTCCTACTTGGAGATTCCCTTGCCTTTACAAGACAATGAAACGTTTTAGAAATCCTCAAATTTTGGAGTATGGTTACCACCATGGCTCCCATAGGAATAACCCTGTCCTTAACTGGGGAACAGCTAAAATTTTTCTCTGCAAGGAATACTGGCTTACTCCAAGCCTATATGGAAGCCTGTGATAAAGCACAACGTGCATATCAAATATACTGAGGTAACATGTCTGACCAGAATCACTCCAACTCAATAACTGCTAAACACTTCACACCATTGGGAGGGAGGATTTAGAGGAATGTAGAGATCACAGAGCTGGAGGTAGTGATGGTTATTACATGCTCTGCTGGTGCCAAGACACTGCACCCTGATGTCTTGACAACCAAGTTTTTCAAGTTGTTAAAACAGATTGGCAAACATCTAGCTTCCTTGTACAGCCATACACTTAGACAAGATCTACCCACCTACTGGAAAGCTAGTCTGCATGAAAATGTTCCTGGAAAGGAGAAGGATCCACTTGATCTGGGGACATACTGCCCAATTTTGCTTACTAATCAAGACTTTAAGATTACGTTAAAACATAAAATTAGAAGACCTCTTGGATCCTGACCTCCATCTACTGCCATTCTCTCTCATACAAGCTAAATTTGCCATATGGATTTTTCACTTTCTTAACTATGCACAACTTGTCACTTATTTAACCTTAGTGACAGAGGCCTTTTTTTTTTCCTTTTGTTTTTTGTACCCATGTTATAATCCACATTTTAGGCCTGAAAATTACTTAAAACCCCCACACATTATATCATTTTCTGAAAGCCAAGACCCTGTAGAATAAAATGGTGGCAGTTTAAAATGTTTTAAGTTGCAGGATATTAGTGCAATGTATTATCAAACCCCAAAATCTAGTGAAAAATGCCCTTTAAATGCCCCAAAACACTATTAAATACCCATTTAAAAAAAATAAAATATAAGAGATGAGGTTACAATGAGTAAATTGATGCCCAGGTTAAACATTGTGTGCGTCCGTGAAACAAAATTCAATACCCCAAAAAGTCCATAGCTGACGCTTTAAAAGCCCCCATGGGTCATCAATTTAGAGATACGCATAAATATTGGGCTTAGAATTATTGCTCTCCGGCGTGCGCAGCGATACCCAACGTGTAGCGCGATCGTCGCTTTCATATGTAGGCGCACCCGACGCGTGTTTAATGCGAAGACGCGTGTGCTCGCGGGCGGAGGACTTTAAAAACATTTTTTTTTATTTCATTTAATATTCATTTTAAAAACTTCATTTCTTACTTTAATTGCTGTTACATAGGGGGGCTTACAAGCACCCCATGTGATAGATTGGCAGTGACAGGTACTCTTTAGGTGATGCTGGGGTCTAAAAGACCCTTACTATCACCTTTACACTAGAAATAAGCTATTGAAATGCAGGTCACACTTCAATAGCTTAATGCTGGGCTTCAGGAGCCCAGCACTAACAGCTATGGGACCAGAATTGATGTGATCTGCATTGCTCCCGGTCCCATAGTGCGGGGAGGGGGATTGGTGAACGGACGTTCGACGATCTCCTCCCCAGCTTCCCCCCGACATCAGAGAAGCTTGTACCCGTAGGAGGGACAGCGGAGCCCGGGAAACACGGCAGGGGTGTCAGGCGGGGTGGGGTGGCCCGTTTACCGGCCCGGAGAAGCAATCGGGCGACAGCAGAGTCGCCAGATCGCTTCTATTGTAAGCTGACAGTCGACTTTACAATTGTAAACAGAAAGACGCTGGGAGTTTGTTAAAATGGGCCTGGTGCCAGTGACGTACTATGGACGTCACTGGTCACTAAGGAGTTAAAACTGGTATTTGGCCCAAATTTCTCTCTGCACTTCACTTGCTTTAATCTTTTTCACTTACTCAAACTCAGATGTGCAATATCTTGATTGCAATTCTTTCTGAGGAATGCTTAGAACTAGGCGTGCATCAATGCCAGTTTTTCAGTATAGAGTGCGAGTACCGATTTTTATTTTTCCGTTACTCGCCGATACCTCCCTGAAGTGTAGGCGTCCCAAAACATAACTTCCAGAATGACCCACATGTTAATATTTACATGTTGACCTCAGCCAACTTTTATGGATACGCCTCTTCATCCAGACCTTTTATTATGCAGGGAGCGTTTAAACCTATGAATAAAACTATGCCCTACAATAGAAAACTCCATGCAGCCACTTTTCAGATGGTTGATGCCAATGCCACAGATGCAGAACAGAAAACTTTTCTAATTTTAAACATTTTTATGCTTTAGCAAACTCTTTACAAACTGGATTTATCCACACCTAGCAACTGCACAGGTTTTAATGTGGGTTCTACAAAATCCTATTGTATAATGTGCTCTGCTTTGGGGTGCCTTAAATTACTGATGGACAACTGAATCTTAAATAAGTGTTTTGGGTTTATTTACAAATAGGGATATATATACATTCTAATTGCAATTAAGGGAAATGGAGATGGGATTTGGAGGGGGGGAGCAGTAGGGATAGGAATTGAGGTTAGGATACTTCAGCTAGCAAAATCATTCTCTCTCTCTCTCTCTCTCTCTCTCTCTCTCTCTCTCTCTCTCTCTCTCTCTCCCAGAACACTCCTCTTCAGCAGGACTCAGCGAATCACACTCTGGATTCTAGAGTCCAGAAAGACTTGTCTTGTCGATGAGGTCACAAAGGTTACCATTGTTCATGCATGTGAGCTAGGTTTGTGCAGATGATCAAATACCAGCAGGGGGTCTGGCTCGTCCCAGGAGATAAGACAGTCCGGCAGATCTTCATCCATCAGTGTCCCAACCACAAGAACCCTTTGATGGTCCTAATCTGCGTATCACACAGCCACATGCTGATTCAGTTCAGGATATCAAGGAACACCTTTTATATCAAAGCTTTTCCACAGATATTAATTCCATCTGCTCCAACACCTATTGGACATCATTCCAGACAGGCAGCTTAAAACTCTAATTCTTCAAAACCTGGACCCTATTTCTGCTTCAAACAATGTTTACAAACCATTTCACATCTGCCTTCAAGCATACAGTTTGGTATCGCGCCCCATTGTATAAAGTGTTGGTGACGTTAGACCACCCTTTTTAAGGATGCACCACTTTCCTCTGTATGTACTAGTTTTGTGCAACATTGTCCTGCTCTTGTCTTGTATACAAAATGTTACAAATTCATTTTCATGCAATATGTCTTTTTAAAATTCCTAATGCTATGGAATTTCTGGATGTTTTACATGGCATTCCCCAATTAATATAATATGGGGGGGAAAGGTCAAGTCTACATTAGCTTCTATGCACAGGTACTGTTAGATGGGATCACAAAAAGCTAAACCCCTCAATATTCACCTCCGCTCCAGTGATGCGACATCCACAAGCTCCCTCGTCAGCAATAACTCTTCTCCCTGGCTTCAGTTCAGGGTCTTCAGCCATCTTGTATGGCCAGGATGATGCAACACCCATGGTATGCTGAACTAACTCAAGACGTGCCAAGAATGTACACTGAGCAGCACATGCACAGCTTTGTGTAGATTTTTAAAACATCTTGCGAGGAGGAAGGTAAGAAGCTTTCATTGCAGAAGGGGCATGGGGACATCCTGCTTGCAAGCAATTGAGAACTAAATATGCTTTAAGTATTTAAAAGTAGCACAGGGCAGTCCCTGTTAAGAAGAGGGGCAACATTTGGCTGCAATGAAGGTCATACCCTGGGAGTGATCAGATGACCCAATTATCTGATCCATCAAAGAACAGTAAGGTTCTGTGATAGAAGCTCATGTAAACTGTCACATTGGGGTCATATCTCTCATGTGCAGGCATACATTAAAAAAGTAAAAATATCCAGCTTGTACCATCTGTCTCCCCGTTGCCTTGTGATCATTACCCTACACACCACACAAAGAAAAAGGCAATTGCTCTTGTTCTGTAGCAAATGTCAGATGTATTTGCTTTCTTTGTAAATACATGCTTTTAAAACAGGAAAACGAAGTAGACGCAGTATTAGGATACATTTAGGGGCATTCATTTTACTTTTCGTCAACATGACGTGGATACAAGTTTGCTCATTTTGAATTGTTTTACAACACACAATTTTATTCACCTCTTAGTTTAGTATGATTTCATTTGTTTTATGTGTTCTAATGGCAGGTTTTATGAAACCTTAATTTAAATAAAATGGCCTGTTTGTGGTCTGCTTCTGTCTTCATACCAAAAAAGTAAATTTGGTACAAATTGTAAAAATTGACCATATGAAGGCTGTGCAAATATATTTAGAAAAGGTCTTAATTTTGTTAAAATAAATATATTAAATGAGATCAGAAATTTTTTTTTTTTATGATTTAGGCCCCGTTCACACAGAGCGATTTATCGCGCAGTAATTCCCGCGATATCGCGGCTATTTACCGCGCGATATCGCTCTCCAATGCTTGGCAATGGGGCAAAGGGTCCTGCTGTCGCGGGTCGTGCGTCGCTACAGCAGGACCCTTTTTGGAGCGGATTTTGCAGCGATTCTAGCTTGCTCAATGCAAACATTTGCGCGATATCGCGTGACAAATCGCGCAAAATGCAAATCGCGCAACAAACGCGCGATTTGCGAATCGCGCAGTGTGAATGGGGCCTTAAGCGTTCTTGGGGGAATGCTACCAGTTTAACATTTATAAACTCCTCATTTTGTACTTGTGATACAATTTTTTTAAGTCATTGTCTGATGATTAAGCTCTTTGATGTTATCTTTTGCTTTTCAGACATTGAGAAACGACAAAATCCAGTGTGCCATTTTGTGACTCCTTTGGACGGATCAATCGATTTTGATGAACATAGGAGACCAGAGGTATGAAGGATCAGGGTCCTGTGTGTTTCTACTAACTAACCAGCCTGACTGATTTAAAATTGATCGTAAACTCGGTCACCCAGTCCTAACGGTTAACAAGTTACCTGCTATTACAGATTATTGACCAGGAAAGCCTCTTCTCTCTGCTATTCAGTTCCTGGATTCACTTTACTAATTCCCAACTTTCTTGACTCTGGAACTAAGCCACATCCACTTGCTATCCCTCTGTCCTGTGAGAGCAGCTCATTAGGTAATTACTGCACTCTCATTATACAAGAGGATAGATAGGTCGCAGGGCTTACCTTCAGTGGCAAGGCTTAGCTAGAAGTCAGGAAGTTTGAAGGTTATACAGTCCTATCAAGATCAGAGTAATTGCAAGCTCATTGTTGTCTGCTTTTAGGCACAACTTTAATCTTTTACAAAAGGTTAAACATTTCTAACCACTTTGCTTTTAAATTAACAAATGTCATGATGAGAATATAGCCATGATGAATCCATACCTTGTATATGACACTTGCGATTTATCTTTGAATATTCTTTTAATGATTTGACCTAATTAGTGCTTGTATGTGGCTTTGTTTTTTCACTCTCTTCTCTCTAGGCCATTGCAACTGAAGGAAGGTACTGGAAACGGAGGATAGAGATTGTAGTTAGAGAATACCACAAGTGGAGAACATATTTTAAGAAAAGGGTAAGAATATTGACTCTGCTATGGGTTAGGGCTCTGTAGAACTCCTTATTTGAAGGGTTCTAGTGTTCGCTGCCTGACTTTTTTTGGAGTCGCGCTTGCTTGATGCATGTGTAATGCCAATACTTAAATACCAGGGCATAAGGTGTCTGAGTTCAGGGCAGTGCTTTAGTCGCAGTACGCATGTAAAGAATGGAAATTGTGTATATACTCGTACAGCTGATGCTTCAGCCATCCAATCGATTTGTTCAGGCTGCCTGCATGAAGCTTCCTGGCACACACCTGTGACTTCCGGGAAGAAAAATACACCGTCTGTACTCTGTACAGCCATTTCCGGCCATGTGCATGAGGCCTTAAAAGATGGTTTACGGTCTCTTGTCTATGGCTTCTAGTTTTAAGATGAAGGGCTGTCTTGTCTTATGGAACAATAAATGGTCACACAGTTAATCTCACAGGGGTTCTATGCTTTGGACAGCATCTGTCCCTTACGAAGCCAGGGACAGATGGTTAAACAGCATCACTGACAGTAGAGAATAATCTAACCAAATGCAGTGTAATGCTTTTTAGTAATGGCTTTATATCCCACTGCTGCAAATATTAAAGTACATGCAAGACCTAAACTTGTATAGTTTTAGATGAAGTAAGGAAAGGTTAATACCCCTTATCAGGTTATCTTTTTCGGTACCTTTTTCTCGAATGTCTACCCTGATTGTTCAGATTATTTGGCTGGCCTTGATTTCAAAGACCATTGAACTATGTCATGAAATAACATACTGTAAATCTGTTTAGTCTTTATCTTTACTGCCCAAACTGAGAAGAAATTGTGGCTTGTGTTGTACATAATCACTCTGATTTTATGCCACGGACTTTTGCAGGCTGAGGAAAATGGACAGCCATCTGTTATGAGGAGTGATAACACCTGTGATTTTTCTTTTTCCAGTTACAGAAGCACAGAGATGAGGATCTCTCAAGTTTGGTTAAAGTGAGTAAAAGCTCTGTATTGCTGCTTGAGAACAAACTGGTTGGGCCAGAATGTGAGACATATGTAGTGATTATGTGCTAGAACAGAGCCAGGAATTTATTGCAACATTACCTGCCTTAACAGTCGTCTTTTCCTGGACTCTCACCAAGCAGTCTCATTAGATTGATGCCTATTATATGATTTACTTTAGGAGGAACTTTACCCACCAATTTAATGTCTCTCAAAACCATTACTTTTAAGGCATGCCAACTATCAAGTTTGGAGTGCTGTTTCAGGTGCCTTCAGATTAATTTTGATATCGGGTTTAGATGCTGCGTAGTTCCTTCACAGCTACTTCTGAGCTCCTTGTGACTTTTATTTGACCTCCTCCCACCTGCATTGACCACCTAAGCTGCTTCCACAATCCTATTGGCTTGTACAGGGGGGGGGCAGTTGTGACGTGACCAAAAGCTCTTGTGCATATTTTCCTATAGCGGCCAATGAGGTGTTTGTTCATACCTATACTAGAACAGCTTGAAACTCATTACAGTGAGCATATTTACTATGTGATGTTGGCTGTGGGGGGTTTTTCCTAGCTGATTTTTTATTACTAAAAGTCCCTATTGCACATGTTAAGTGCTACAGCATTAAGTGATATTATTTCGGTTTAGAATACTATTTGAGTTTTTTTATATTCTAAGGAGATAATATTTTATTCTAACATCACGTTTCTAAATGTGTGCAGGATGATGATCTTGATGCTGCAGTGCCAATGGAGGAGGAGCCTCTCCTGGACATGGAGATGCTTATGGCGGAGTTCAGCGACACTTTATTTTCTACTATTTATTCGCATCAGCACAACCCGAAAGAGATTGGTAAGTGCTATGCATACGTTTTATTGAACAGACATTAGGGATGACTTGAATACAGTTTCCTGCAAAGTCTCAAACATTGTGGCTTTTGTGTTTTTGGGTATAATTTTACAAGATGAACATTGTCTGATGCAAGATATACTCCTGGTTACCAAGACTTGAGGATTAGGTAAAGTGTTCTCTCTGGGCTTTACAGTGTAGCTGGTGTCTTATCAGTTATGAAGCCACTGCATTGCAAATCTAGAGATTAAAGTACATCTGGTCTGTTGATTATTCAACATTTTGCCAATCCAAATGGCTTCTTCAGTATCTATGGGAAAGAAATTTCTTGCACGTTAAATTATGGATAGCCAAACACTACTATACAGAGACATGTCAAATAACAAGTTAGGGTGTGATTAATTGAGAGTAATAGGGGCTGCCATTGCTGACTACTTTTATCAGGCTGACTGTTCTCATCCGGTTGTTTTAATACTTTTGGAGTCGCTGGCCTGGAGTACGTATGCAGATCAGGAATGTTCTAGAGATCAAGAAACCTTCTTTTTTTTTTTCCTACTTGTTCCAAGACATTGACTAAAGCTGTTGAAACAAAACAGTCAGTATAACCTGCTTATTCACATTTTCAGAAGTCAGTAATGACGACTTCCATGTTTTTCTTTCATGGCACATTTTCCTTTTTTTTGTAAAATATTTTTATTGAAGTTTTATGTACAAAAATCAGAGACAAATCAACAAACCTATACATGGGATCACATGCCTGATGTACAAAAGTATGATATACCTTACTGCAGGGCTCAAAATTTCAAGTCCTGAGCTACTAGCCAGGCCTTAAGAGTTACTAGCCACCAGTTCCCCCACCTAACCCTTACCCTGCCCCAGCCTTAACTCCGCCCCTAAACACACCCTCTTAAATAATCTTATGATAATTCATATCTTATGTTAGTTGCCGCTTGTAAATGGCAGATTAGGGATTCCTGCTGCAGGAAAACGCAAGTTCCTGACACAGGAATCTCTAATCACACCTGAAATATATGGTAGGTGTGAATGGGGCCTAATATACACATACACTAAAGGTGTCCATACACCTGCTGATTATCATACGATAATCGCGGGTGATCCCACGATCGTACGATAATCGGCAGGTGTATGGGCAGCGTGCGACCGATCCTACTGTAAGGTCGTACGACTTTCGTCTTCCAAGCACGCTGGAAAACCTGCCGAACTGTCAGAGCTCCGGCCGAAGGAAGCCAGAGCTGACAGGAGCTGCTCTGCGGTCTGCATCCAACACAGATGCAGACCGTGGAGCTTCTCCCGCAAGTCAGGTACGCGGTCTGCGACCGTGTGCCTGACATGTCAGCTGGCTGCGGGCCACATGGTACCGGCTCGCGGGCCAGAGTTAGGCCGCATGCCGGTACTTGGAGACCCAAATTTCCACTCTCCCTCCCCTTATTTTTACTCGCCAAATGCGAGCAGGCGAGTGGAAATTTTGAGCCCTGCCTTACTGTATACAGTAGTAATAAGATTTCCAGTTTCTTCCAAGCCTTATAAAATAAATTTTGACGAAACATAGAATAAATCAGATTTACAATGATATGAGTAAATGTGTGTTATTCCCAGGAAGAGTAACTACAAACAGATTAAGAAACGGCGTAAAATATCTCAAAATTAGTAGCTTATAAGAAGCTAAATATAAATGTTCCAACAAACATAAACAGACATACTAACCAAGAAAGAACCAACCCAATAAAATCCAGCTTGTCGCATCCTCGCTAGTCCATAAGTATTAAATAGTATAAAACAAATCATAGACAATATATAGATGGATGTTAGAGTTAGCTCAGCAGATGCTGCAGAATCAGGGTAGGTGGATCTAGTCCAGGAGTCGATAGCCACACATCCCATAATTTTTGAAATTTTGAGGGGCAATCCCTAGGTTGATGCACTAGTTTTTCCTTGGAGTAGTAGGTTGGCCTGGGTATGCCATCCCATGACAGTGGGTGGGTTAGGAGACCATTTTAATACTATCAACTTCCTTGCAATAAAGAGAAGTCACAGAACTGGGGAGATTTGTTTCCATAGTATTAGTATAAGTGCCCTTGTCAATACAGTTCAATAAACAAACTACGGGTCTATGGACAAATTAGTATGGTATACAGCATTGATAGTGGACACAACATCCCTCTAACTCTATCCCTTCTAAATTTAGAACATCTCCATAACATGTGCATCAAGTGCACATTTCCTTTTAACAGGCATCTGGCTAAGGCAGGTGTCACCTGGCGTTGTAAAGCTGCTGAGTGACATTGTAAATTGCATTTAGGTGGTGTCCCAACTGTTTTAAGAGAAATGGTCCTCTGACTATTTTTAGAAAACATTTGTGTCAATTTGACATTCAAAACATTCCTTCAAAACCTTTGAGGGCTCTGGTTCTTCTCAGCCCGAAAATGTATATTTTACAGTCATTGGTGTGCCTTGGTTTTTATTTATGGGTAGACTGTCTTGACTTAAAGGAGTTTTCCGTCCCATGTTGACTGGACAACATAGGATTTATAGATTGAAATGCCAAGCATTTCACTTCTGTGAGATGAAATAAATAAGCTACCTAAATGAGTAGTGGAATGTTTTCAAGAATCCATATATGATGCGTATCCCGGACTTAGTGTACGATCCATCTGTCCTGATGAAAGGTTAAGCTGCCCCCTCTCCTACTTCACATGATTAAATGTGGGGTGCAACTTCATTTCTGCACTATTGCTTATAAACTGACTGGCTGTTTGCAATGACCACTGTTTTTTTCTTTTTTTTTTTCACCGTAACCTCTGTCTAGTATGGAAGAGGAGCTATGTAAAAACAAGACTAATTAATTGGTACTTTCTTTCCTTAACCACAGCACATTTGGGGAATGCAGATATGATTCAACCAGAGCTGTTTCCACTTCAACCCAACTTAGATTTGATGGACACTTTTGAGTCTTTTCAAGGTAAGCAAATCTATGGGTTGTGATTTGTTCATCTGTGGATGATTGGGGGGAGTCTCAGCATACTTAATGGCCATGTGACATTTTAAGGTGGCAGAAGCAGTATATCAATTACTTTTTTTTTTTTGTGAAGGCATATGAAGGTGAGACACAAGCTGTTTGTAAACATACTTATAGGGGCCAATTCATAACAAATAGTGATTTATCTCTAATCCAGGTGTTTTCTGTTGCACTAGACGGGGAAATCTCCTAAACAGTGTATTGGACTCTAAAGCTTTTTACCCTGAAGGAATTAACATTTTTACTGAGCTTCACAGTTGAACAGGGGCTTCTGCTTAACTTGGGTTAAGTAAGGTGTGTTTTTTTTGCAAAACTATTTCTGGATATTTCGTAATGTTTCTTCATGCTACATATAGCAGAGTAAAATATTAGTATGCTGTATATCAGAGCTCTAGTTTGGCTGCCATGTTGTGTTATGGAAGCTTCTAACCTGTATTCTATTGGAGAACAAAAGCTCTTCTAAATAAAAGCACTTGATGCAATAAATGTAATATTTAAAAATCTTAACTTCCTATGATGTTTTCTTTGATTTCAGATCTTTTCTCTGGCAACCGTCTACCATCTTCTTTGTTTACTTCTGCCTCTTCTGTACCGGCCGTCCCACTGCCTGACCCCGCTTTGCATTCCTGTAACCAGACATTGGCGGTAAGGATAAGCAAGTTAAGGCAGTTCACAAAGATGTGGTCATATTGTGTGTGCTTGTGATATAAACAGAAAGGTGTGTGTGTGTGTATATATGTATATGTGTATATATATATATATGTATATATATATATATATAAAAACCCCAAAACGGTTTAGGAATCTTGTCATGTGTTAAAGAAGTAAGCCTAAATGTGATTGCAGAAAGGCATCTGATTTTAAATACAGTTAATATGCATATTGTGTCTCCAGACTGCAGTGGCCTTATGATTTTGCTGTTTTTTTCCAGCCTCCTGTCTCGCCATCGTCTAGCAGCCTTGCGCCTGTGAATCTTGATGAGGAATTGATCCCATCCCCAGGTCCTCCCTCCATTCATCCGCGAGTCCCAGAAGTGAGGCGGGAACGGGCATCCAGTTTGGGCAGCATTTCTACTGTTCATGGACCAGTCAAGTTTAACTCAGAGACAGCTATAAATAACCAGCATGGTTTTGTCCCAGTTTGCCACCCTCCAGTTACGATCTACCAGACACCGCCTGGTCCACAAACGTTGCCCCTGAAACCTCGCCTGGCACCCCAACCCTCTTTTGTTAGCACGGACGCTGATAAGTTTCACATGTGTAACGCCTCAGTTATTACGCACACGGCCTCTGCCACACTTCCCCATAATCCTTCTGCAACTACCTTCAGTCAGAGCCAGAACCTTATTCTTACAACGCAGCAACACGTGCCTTGCAACATTTCAGTGCAAACTGCTGGGGTCATGCAACAGACTGCCCCCCAGTCCCATGGATACTTTACTTTGTCAAGCTCTGGAGCTAAGAAGAAAAAGCATCCTCCAAAAATTGTGCCTGCTCCTCAGCAAGAGACTGTATCTTTGCTGTTTACTCCTGGTAAGTGTTGAGCTACCAAGATTGCAGCCCAGGGTTTCCTGTCAATCTTTGACATGTAAAGTGTCATTTTCTGATTATTTTTATTACTTAAATGAAATGTGAAAAATGTAAGGTTTGTATGTTGTACTGTATGCTCTATGAAAACCCATGCTGAGAAGAACCCATGCCCACTGCTCGGCCTTTCCACTGAATGTGCACTATATTTGGCACTGATCTGTATTTGAAGGTGTTATCCTTGTGTTTTTGGTATTCTAAGCTGCAGTGTCATGACCACAGCACGGTAAAAAGAAATAAATAAACCTGCATTCCACTGGCTCTGGCACTCGAAAGCCAGCGGGGTGCAATAATAATGAGCGTTGAGGAAAACAAATCAGGGAAGAGACCTTTCAAAGTCACATAACCCTCTCCCATCCAATCACAGAGCTCGGCTACACTGCGACCCAATTTTTGTTAATTGAATGGGTTTTGGTGTTTGCAGGGAAACCGCATATAACAGAGAGTGGATAGTGTTATAAATGAGCCACTAAGTGATTGTAGTATATCAAGGAAAGAAGGACATTGGCCTCCTAAGAATAAGTTAATTTACTCCCTTTCATATTACGTGCAATAGGATACACAGACCAAACCCTGGTAGAGGAACCTGTAATGCAGATTTGTAAAACCAGAGGTATGGTCCTCTCTGGAGTGATTGTTTAACAGTTTAGACTTCAAGATGCTAACCGCTTGAATACCAGGTGTTTAGACCCCCTTCCTGTCCAGGCCATTTTTCAGTATTCAGGGCTGCAGTACTTTGCCATTTATTCCATCATGCAGCGCTGTACTGAAATGAATTTTATACCATTTTGTGGGGACACATGGAGCTTTCTTTTGGTGGTATTTATTCGCCACTGGGGGTTTTATTTTTTACTATAATTAGGAAAAATTACTGAAATTTTTTTAAAAAAAGTTTTTTTTTTACATTGTTAGGAAACATTTATTACCCAGTTTTTTGGTAAAATATAAAAGTGGGGGTCACGTCAGGTAAATAGGCACCAAACATGTCAAGCTTTAAAATTGCGAGCACCCGCGAAATCGCAGACAACTACCATACCCAAAATTGGCCATAGGTGACACTTTAAAATCTTTTACCGCTCATCAGTTTAGTGTTATCAGTGATTAATGGCCCTAGAACTATTGCTCTCACTCACATGTTCGTGGCGATATGTAACATGTGTGGCGTGATGGGTGCAATTGTCTTTTTTGCATGTATGCGCCCCGACGCATGTTTGCATGCGTGTATGTATGGGTGGGGACTTTCAAAAATGTTTTTGTTTTTTTAATTCTTTTTTTAATTCTTTTTTTTAATTCTTTTTTTATGTTTAAATTTAAATTTTAGGAATTTAAAATGTTTCTTCATTTTTTTTTTTCCCCCCCACTAAACTTTATTGCTATCACATACGAGGGCTAATAAAACCCCCCTATGTGATAGCAAAATATGTGACAGGTCCTCTTTGAGACATCAGGGGTCTCCAAGACCCCTAATGTCACCTAGGACCCCCAAAAGAAGCTGATGAAGAACAGATCTGCTCCATCAGCTTCTTTCAATGCAGAAAATTTTTATTTAACACCAGTAATTTAAAATATTAGTCTGTGTGTATAATAGAATTAAGTGTAGAAAAAAAAGAATTGATATGCTATAGATATGTATTTAGGGTAATAGATCTGTATTTAGATATAGTAATTGTATGTCTATAAACAATTACTATATCATATATTGTACGGTGTGTGGATAACCCTGAGCTATCCTGCAGTGCCTATTAGGATTGTTAAAGTCAATCTCCAGGAAAAATTATTTACACAATTCACTGGGGGTGGAGGGGGTGTAGATGTAACATCATATATCCTCCTGCATTTACAGAATGCCTTGTACTCTGTGAAAAAATACAAGGAATTGTTGTGAGTGGGGAAGTAGTGAGGGGGCAGGGATGCGACGGGAGCACTTCTCATGGTGCATCCCTCACTCCCTGCAGTGCCCAGAAGACCGGTGTTATGTGTAGGAGATGCCGTGCTGCAAGGTAAGATTTTTATACTTTGCTGTTGCCCTCCACACATATCACACAGCTTTTTTAGTGATAATTTACACACCCAATGCGCTGTGTGAATTCTCATTTTTCCCAGAGTGTTGGCTTTAAAATGTATTTCCACTTTTGCAGTCAAATTTGAGAAAACCCCTCCTATATATAGTAAAAAAAAATAATGTAAAATATTAAATTTTTTAGTTTTGTTGCAGCAGGCAAAATGGCTGAATCCACGTTCACAGTGATCTATTCATATAGAAAGACAGAGTACAGGAATATGTAGAATGTGTTTCTCTCATTAACATGTAATGCAGAAGACAGGGTTGTAATATGTTAACCCTTTGTTAGGGCAGGCAGTGTTCATATCTACTTTACAAATTAGTCAAGTGCACCTATGTACAAAAATTATGTATTGTCGGGATCCGTCCCACCTGTGGCCTGGCTCTGCGCTCTCAGCATATATTGGGTAATAACCATTAATAAGCATTAGTATATGTCTTCCTGTGACCCTGAAGAGAACAATGGCTAAAAAAAGGTTAGGCCATAGTTCTCTTGAATTTTTTTTTTTTTTTTATCCGATCGAAAAAGATTATCGGCCAGCTAATCGTTAGTTGCAGCCCTACAGGCAGCTATGCCTCTTGCAGGGAGCCTCATTGTCATGGAAGAGAAGTCGGGTGGCAAGTATTGAGAAACTGCAAGACAGGAGATAGAGCACATGGAAAGAAAAATATAACCGATTATTTGACTAAATATTGTTTACAATTGGCAAGCATCATGAGCATGGCACAACGCACTCGGCGCCATCTGCTCTGTAGAATACAAGAGATGCATTGTGCTCTTGTGACCGCTAAAACAATTGAAAAAATATATTGCTTTTTTTTTTTTTTAATTACCACATTTAAGGGACATTGCTTCCATATTATGTGTCCTAACAAAATGCACAGACCAGCCATAACAATATGACCACTGATAAGTGAAGTGAATAACATTGATTATCTCAATAGCACCTTGAAGTGGGTGGGATATATTGCGCAGTTCTATATATCCTGCTTCATTGAGGAGCATAGGGCCGAAGTGAATGACTTCCACTGTTGCCAGTTCCCAGCCTTTGATTTAACCTGCAGCCAGGTCAGGTTCACTTCAACAGCCTTGATATCATCATATAGGCTTCGCCACCAGAAGCTTCTGGGTCTTCCTCTCCTGCTTTGTCCATGGGGTTACCAATATATCTGTCTATAGATTTCATTTGTGCCTTTTTCATAAGCTATGTGCAATCTATTTCCATTTATTCAACCAGTCTTTGGTGACACCACCAGAGAAGCACTGTATTAGGAATCCAATTTTGTGGCCACCAGACATGAATGATGCATCGCAGGCAATGGTTTACAAAAACCTGGAGTTTTTGTGTGGTTTCAACTGAGACTCTCCATGTCTCGCTCCCAAAAAGCAGCACAGATTTCACATTTGAATTGAAGATTCAAATCTTCGTACAAAGACTAATCTGGTTCGAAGTCCATTTATTATGGAGGCCTGCAAAAGCGCCTCGGATTTTCTAATCCATGTGGAGATGTCAGTCTTTGTTCCACCGTCCGGCCTAATCTGGCTCCTGTTGTATTGGAAGGTGTCAACATTTTCAACTTCTTGGTCATGTACAGTGAAGCTGCAGAGGTTTGCTGTATTTACCTCTATCGCCCTGGTCTTGGGCATATTATGGGCAGCAAGTCAACATTTTGTCCTGGAAGTTGATGTGTTGGAAGCAGAAAAAATTGGCAAGTGTAAGGATTTTAACAACTTTGACACGGGCCAAATTGTGTTCGCTAGATGACTCTTGTGAGATGCTCCCGGTCTGCTGTGGTCAGGACCTACCAAAAAGGGGCTGAGGAAGGAAAACCGGTTGAACCGGCAACAGGGTCATGGGTGGCCAAAGCTCGGTGATGCATGTGGGGAGTGAAGGCTGGTCTGTGTAGTCAGAACCAATAGAAGAGCTGCTGTAGCTCAAATTTGCTTACCCGGGGAAGAGATTGCACCAGTATGCCCTATGGGAAGAAGGCAAGCTGGGGGAGGCAGTGTGATGCTTTGGGCAATGTTCTGCTGGGAAACCTTTTGGTCCTGCCATTTCATGTGGATGTTTGACACATACCACCTACTTAAACATTGTTGCTGATTTAAGTACACCCCTTCATGGAAACGGTATTCCCTGATGGCAGTGGCCTCTTTCAGCAGGACATTGCACACTGCAAAAATGGTTTATGAATGTTTTGATGAACACAACAATGCGTTTGAGGTGTTGACTTGGCCTTTAAATTCTATAGATCTCAATCCAATTGAGCATCTAGGGGATGTGCTGGAAAAGCATGCATGGAGACCCCCACCTCACAACTTACAGGACTTGAAGGATCTTCTACTGACTGCTTTGTGCCAGATACCACAGCATGACATCAGAAGTCTAGTGAAGTCCATTCCTCCACTGATCAGGGCGGTTTTGGTGGCAAAAGGGATAGACCTTCTCAATATTAGGCTGGTGGTCATAATGTTAGGTTGATCGGTGGATAGAGAGATGAGATGAAGGTTTACTTATTTTAATCAATGGACCTGTATCTCTGCTGCTGTCATTTTTAAACTTTACAGTTTAGAAAAGTAAGTGATTTCTGTTCATAATGGTAATAACCCTAAGGCCTTGTTCACATCTAGACGTTTCGGCGCACCCTGGAAACGATTGGCAAGGAAAATTTCATTCATTTTAATGCTCCCTGTTTAGACCGGAGTGACGCACAGAAATGTTCATGAGTTACTTTGGGGCATTTACAGTGTTTTTAGTTGCACGTTTTAGAGTGTTGTGAATGCGCATTTTTATGCGCGTTTACATTGTGGAAAGACCTCGCCTTCCAAGTGACATATGGGTGTTTTGGAAACATTTGTCTTCATGCCCACGTAGCTTATCATAAATGGCCCAGAACTGGCCAATTTGCTGTCTGCTTGCAATGACAAGATGAATCCAGAACCCTTACCATCGCATTCTCCTGTTGTCTGGGATCATCATGGTCAAGACAGCTTGCAGACTGTACCAGTGAAAGTAATAATGTTCCATCACCAAGACAATGCAGCAGGGAACAGAGCAGCAAACACTTTTTATCTGCAGGAAACCGGAACTTATGTAATAGGAAACAGGAACAAGAACGTATTTAATGGATTTGACTGCTTTTCATTGGTCACCACGCCAGAAAAAAAACGGGCATCAACACGCTACAATTTACAGCAAAACGCGCATAAAACGTGTAGAAAACGTCAACACCCAGATGTGAACAAGGCCTAACAGGTGTAGTTAGTTTTATGGTATTCTAACAAGAAAAATTGTTGTCCATAGCACCCACTCGGCTTCTAGCTGTTAGCTCTACAGTTCAAATTTGAAAAAGAAACTAATGCCAATTGGATACAATTGGCAACAATGTTTTAATCACTCAAGACCCACTTTTAAAGAATTGAAATGTGATGTGATATTATTAAGCACACAGGGACACCTAGTGGTAGTCTAAACATAGACATTCATGTAACATATACAGAATTGAAGTTGAACTGCAAGCAAGCTGCTAAATACAGTCAAACTCTTACATGGGGACTGTTTAAGCTGCCAAAGGAGTTGTAATTTAGACAGTTGTGAGATCCAACAACCCATGCCACGCAGCACAGCCATATCCTTGACATTTGCTTTAGCAGTAGCACAGCTTGATCAAGAACACACTTCAACCAGCCTGGATAGTGGAGGAGCAACAGAAGATTGATTGAGGTCATGTCTGTGTTTTCACTACTCTCCTCTTCTGTCCTGGCAGCACATGTACTGCAGAAGAGCATTATTAGCAGAACAGTAGAATTCCAACTGGTAGGGAGGGCCAGCACAGAGAACAATCTAGCCCTGCTGGGTTACACAGTGCTGTCAGTCTAACATTGACTGGGTTCTTGCAAGAGAAAAATCTCAATAAAATGGGGATGCTCCTTTATTATCCAGCAGGCAGAGGACAGGGAGGTTAGTTAAACTGTTGCATATCTGTGAGAATAGTTTTCATTCTGTAATCTTCACCAGAAAAAAACTAATGCGTTTATGCAATGAATAGAAGAGGAATTTTGTTACATTGCCCTAGTACTGTTCTGGTGCATATTTCTCAACCCCCACAAATGTTAGCTGTTGGGTCACAGGGAACTGAAGGTCTGAATAAGGGCTTCATTGACACTGTTCATACTGAACCACTAATGCAGAAAAAATAATTTTGGGGGTTTAGGCACAAACATCACATGTCAAGGGGAACAAAAAACCCTTTGACTCTTAGGTGTATACAATATGTCCTCCGCATGCCAGTTAAACCAGAATGCTCTTGCCAGCCAGTGGAGACCTAACCGGAATAATGTAAACCATGAATCCTTATTAGGACTGCCATGAAGAAGAAAACCCTAACTTGGTCTTCGATGATTTCTGGTTCTGTTTCTACCTTCACCTTTGTAGAAGTTTTGTTTTATGTTTGCATATTTGGTGTTCCTCCCAGGGGTAATCTGACGGGTGCATCACTAGGCTGTCTTTGGTGACAGCCTTCCAAAAAAATCCCCAAAAAGCACGCTCCCTCTTCCTCTCACTTTGCCTATATTTAAGCCCAGGACTGGGATGGAGCGCGGGAAAGGATATACATATCTCCTTGAGATAATGAACCTGGAAATGCTCAGCTCTAAGCCCCTTTTCATGTTCAGAACTATCATATCCAAGCAGCAGTGCCAGGTAAGCAGCAGATCAGGCACCCGGAAGGCAAAAGTGGCATCGCGTGTGTCTGTGTATACCTGGCTTAAATAACAAATATAATGTAAATGTGTTATAAATATATATATATATATATATTCCATGCAAAGCGTGTCCTGTAAAAGTCAGACTGTGACTGACAGAACTCTGTCTGTACTTATGTTGCTACTCATTGTAGCATTTTGCAGCATCTTGTTCAGACCGGACCACAGGCATAATGTACCTTGCATTGCAGCCAGAGGGCGTGGCTACGGTGCTATTCACTTCAATGGATCGCCACTCCCCCCTCCTGCCCCACAACATGAGCCGGCCGCAATGCGAGACAGTGCGTTCTGGCCAGAATTGGGCTGGAACACACTGCATCTGGTGTGAACGAGGCCTTTGCAGTTCGGTCAGCTTTCTTGAAGCCTTTTAAGTGACCCCTTCAGCTACAGTTTGGGGGTTCTGGATGCAGGTCTTAGCCGGAGAGCAGATGAGAACACGTTAAGATCCGCTGTCCTGGGCTACTAGTAAGTGCAGAAAGTTCAACAAGATGGAAACATTAATAGCACACATAGTATATTGTATAGTGATTTTTATTAATTACAAGTGTTCTGATTTAACTCCACAATACGGGGACAGGATAAAGTTATGTTTTTGTACTACTGTACCCACATTTTCTGAGATTGTTGTGCCTTTACATGCCATTCTTTAGAAAAAAGAACAAAGAAAAACCTCACCAAGATTTTTACTTGAGGCATATGGAAAACCTGATATATCACAGCAGCTTACCATGCATTGCCAATATTTGCATTTGTTTTGTGTTATTGGAATGTCAGTTATGTTGCTTTACCGTTACTTAGAAAAAATATCCAATTACTGAAAGCGTCTTTAAATTTTAACCTACCCCGTCAAACTGGACTTTTTATTCTTTCATTATGTCTGCTATTCAGCTTTTTTTTCCAATTTTTGATTTCCTTTAGAAAGATATTGGATTTATTTTACATTCTGTGTGCATATGTTTATGTATTTTGCTGCACCCTACATCTGACCTGCACTCATTTCTCTATTTCAGCGTCATTTTCAGGTCAGACTCAAGCTGTGATCGTATCTCCTGCCTCCCTGAAGTCAGACACCATGCTGGCGCCAAGAATTACTCAGCCCAGCATGGTGATTGCACCAGCCGGCCTTGCAGGGGTAAACTTACTTGTTAGTATTATGCCAGAATCTTTTCAGTCTGTAAAACCCTTGCTTGTTGGAAAAGTTTTTCGGTCAATAATAATTTTCAAGAAATTTAAATAACAATAAATCCTTTAGTGTGCAGGGCAGTTACAGTATTGAAGATATCCCCTGTCGTTTAGAGTGCACAAAATAAGAATGAGCGTCTCAATATCTCAAAATTGTTAGAGAAACTATTAAGAAATGGGTTCTCTTTGCGTTCCCATTTACATTTGCGTTCCCGTGTAGATTTTAAAAAAAAAAGTTTAATGAAATCTTCCCCAGACTGTCCTGTTTATGGTTACACTTATTGCAGCATTGTGACTGCACATTTGTTGATGGAAGCGAGAGGTTTTTTGACTTGTGGTTGGCTGCATGCACATATTTGGCCAAGCGTAAACCTCACTATGATGGTGTGAGTTCTATCATATGACCGGTATGGATTTAAAAGTCATCACAGCATGTTCTTTGTTTCTCTTGCAGTCTTCTAGAGTACCAGAGTTTCATGGCAGTATTCTTGTTGGACAAGCTCCGCAATCTCAGGGCACCCAGAAGTCTCAGTCCGCTGTGTCTCGACTCTTTTCCAGTCCAACGCAAGACATCCTGGTGAAGAGAGAGATGACGTCCTCCCAGAACTGCAGCACCATATCCTCTCCCTCATCCTGTGAGCTCAAAGAGAATACACCATGCCATGATCTATTTCATTGCAGTATTGTTTATTCCCATGCATATGGTTTGTGCAATGTTTTTACAGAGTATTTGACCTGGAATTGGTGGACCTACATTAGGCTTGTGTTTGTATTATATTATATTAATTAGGGATGCACCGATACCGAGTATTTGGGCGAGTACTTGTTGTCGCCCAAATGCTCTGATGCCTAGCCCGATGCTTCCTGTATCAGGAAACCGAGCAGCACGTCATTACACGCTGCCTGGCATCCTGATTGGCCTGGAAGCCGGCTCCATGTTCCCTTGTCACTTGTGACGAGAGAGCATGGAGCCGACTTCCCAGCCAATCAGGAAGGCAGGCAGCGTGTAGTGATGCGCTGCCCGGCTTCCTGATTGGTCGGGAAGCTGGCCAATCAGGAAGCTGGGCGCCGTGTAATGACGCAGCACCCGGCTTCCTGCTTGGCTGGGAAGCCGGCTTCATGCTCCCTCGTCCTCTCATGATGAGGGAGCATGGAGCTGGCTTCCCGGCCAATCAGGAAGCAGGGCACAGTGTCATTACATGGCGCCCAGCTTCCATGGTTTGCCAGCAAACCGGCTCCATGCTTTCTCGTCACATAGTGACGAGAAGCATGGGATGGCTTCCTTGTTAATCGGGAAGCCGGGTGGCGAGTCTTTACAAGCTTCCCGACTAATAAGGAATCCAGGTCTTCCGGTACTCGGTATTTGGTACCGAAAAATAAATATCCGTACTCGGTACCAAAATACCGGTATTGGTGCTTCCCCAGTATTAATGGTAGCTATATTTTAGATCTGTGCATCTGACAGGAACAGAATTGTTTGGAAAGCAATGCAATCTCTTTTCTGTTTAGATGGGAAAACATTTGGTACACTTGTACTGTACCATCAAGACTCATTATTGGCTTGTATTATTGGCTTTTCCTAAAGTCTACACACAGCTTGAAGTAAAATGTCCATCTCCAGCACTGTCTTTAGATTTGATGTAGTGAGGATTTAAAGCCAAACTCTAGCTATAGCTTATTATTTCAGTTCGGATTTTGTGGGACAGTGATGGAGCCTCCTTTGGGTTTTTATGGCCATCTCTGTTCTTCTTGGAGAAATTTCAGCTCACTTTCTGTCAGGAAGTAAATAGAAGTTTCTTCAATAAGCACATAGAGCAACATTTTTTGGTAGTTGAGAAGGGTTATAACTGCTGACAATTGTGCCTTCCTGTACAAGAAACCTCCATTTCTTGTACAGTAGTGAGACCAGGAAGTGAGGTAAAATCTCCCCCCAATGGGATCACAAACTGAAGTTAACCTGAAAACTGGACCCCAATCTATCCAAAACTAACAAATTTGTCTGAACTTAGAATTTAGTGATTGTTGAGATACTTGCCAGTGGTACTGCTTGACTGGAAGCATGTCAAAACTCAGGTTTTTTTGTTTTGTTTTGTTTTTTACAACACCAGGCCTGATCTGGTGATTTTATATCAGGTCCACTTAGTCTGAGAAATATAGTGGCATGGCCTCCATCGATGTCTACAGAATAGAAACCAATATGATTCGACAATAGTTTTTAAAAAAAAATACAGATGTGTGTGTGTGTGTGTGTGTATATATATATATATATATTGTAAATACTTTTTACTGAACTTTTTTTTAAAATAACATTTTTAGTAGAAAATACAACTCCATAACTAAACAAGACAATCAAAAGACTAAGCTCAGCACATATTTCCTACTATGCTTGCATAAGAGAGGGTTTTGTAAGATTAGAATGGCCATATGTATACTACTTGTACGGCAACTCCTTCAAATGTTGAAAACAAGGAGCACTTTGTATGCTTTGTAACACACTTTGATGTATTACTCCTTGTAGCCAGCAATTTATTTTTCTTTTAGTTTTCCTGGCAGAGATTCCATTGTGCAGAGGCACGTGGTATTGATTTTTTTTTTTGTTCATGTGTATATCTTATAAAATAGCTGATATTTGTTAACTTTTTACTGTCCTAAATATTGAAAAACTGGCCACCATCGCAGAGGAAGAGCTGGTGTTCAACAGTTACCCCTCCCATTATAAAATATGGACAATAATGTGCACAAGCCATTACTTGTTTTAGGACTCGTAAAACACAATCTGACTTTTTTAGAGCAATATCTCAGGATGTCTAAATTTTGTGTATCTTTTGCTTTTCAAGGTCGGGATTGTCACAGTTCAAGGCGGGGGTCACCATGCGCATCTGAACACAGCCTCAGCCCCCCACGAAGCTCAGGAAAATCCTCATCTGACCCTCAGTGCTCCACATATAAGGTACAGTCCGATAGTTTGAGATCGTTGGCTCCATAGTTCTCGTCCTCCCTATCGGGATTAAATATCAATTCTTCAAATAGACCTCAGAATTTTTACCTCTGATTTATGGACATGTGTGGTTTTTTTTGGGTTTTTTTTCACCACTAACGTTTAAAATCTTATGCTGCTGGATTTTTTATTCACTTGCACTTTACAAGTAGTATTTAAATGGAAAAAAACAAAACAAGTGAGGTGCCATGATCAAATGCTAAGGAGCCCTTTACAAGTTTTTATATCTCTGCATATTGTCAGCTTGATCCAAGTAGACGCTAATACCGTATCTTCATAAATTGAACCTGTCACTTCAATAAAGTGCGATTTTTGTGTTGTCCGGAAGTCCAAAAACTGGTTGCTGTGAGTAACACAAGACACTCTTATTTCCTCCCAGTTTTATAACTTGTTCCCCAAGCTACAGAATCCATTGACACACATTTGCATGCCAAAAGCTGGACTATAGGATCATCTAGACAATATGAAATGTGGATAATCTTGTACGGGAAGTCCCTTTTTTTTTAAATTTTATTTTGCCAAATTATTTTTATCTTGCAGAACGAAAGATTGAAGCATATTTCTGCAGAACAGAAGAGGAGATTTAATATAAAGATTGCCTTCAACACGCTGCACAGTTTTGTTTCCTCTAGTTCCAAGCCGGTACTTGATCAGCCACATTAAAAAGTATTGTGTCTCATTGCAGAATGAATGTAATATTTGTTACAGTGAAGCAAGTGCTATTCTTTTGTGTGTGCTTCTGGTATTTTAGCTAGCTCTGATTTTCAGTTCATCTCCCAAACATAATAATAATTTGTATCTCAATTGTCACTGAATGTGAACCTTTTTATTGCTATCAAGATGTCTGGATTATTGCAGCTGCATTGTACAGAATAATTATTAGTGGCCATTTGCCGCTTCTGCATGGGTAGAATACTATCAATGGTGGTGTGTTGGATTCCAGTGCATGGTCAGGGGTTCAGAATTTTTTTTAAGGACTAAAGCAGGGGCCTGATCTACTTGTCCTGATACAATGCATGTCCTATGCATGTGTTTATTCGCATGCAGATGGTGGGGGCAGCAGGGTTGGTTTTAATTTTTTTTTTTAATTATCTTTTTTTATTTTTTTACTTTATCGCTTTTAAATTTTTTCCATTTTTATGTATTTCCATTTTTAATTGCTGTTTTTTTTGTGGGGATAGGGGTTTTTTTTAACTTTATTACTATCACACAGGAGCTAAGAAGCCTCTGTGTGATAGCTTTTGGAGATGACAGGTTCTCTTTATTGACTGTCACCTCCAACACAGGAGGTCTAGCACAGCACTGTGCTCGTTTTCCTGTGACAGGAAGGCTGCAAGCATTCCTGTCTCATTGCTCACACGGAGCAGAGACTGGACGTTCTCTGCTCTGCTCCGTGCTCTCTAACCTAATTTGAAGTGGTCCCGGGTCCCCCACAGGAGTAAGGGAGCCAGCGGGCAGCGAGAGAGGCAGCTGGGACCGGTATTTAGAGGACACGGCCACCAGAGAGAGAGAGGGGGGAGGGAGAATCAGGCTGGTTACAAGAGATTTTGGCCGGCTGTACAGCTACTGAAAAAGACCTGTACAAAACGGCTCTCACTATATTTAGTCCTGCTGCCTGCCCAAAGCAGGGCTAAATGTAGAAAAAAAAACTACTTGCCAGGCGCCCGGAACTGCCTGTCCCAGGCGTCGGGCAATTGGAATTCCACACCCCTGATGGTATAGTAGAATAGTTTGCTATGTGGGCAGCACAGTGGCGTAGTGGTTAGAACTTCTGCCTTGCAGCACAAGGGTCCCTGGTTTAAATTCCAGTGAGAACACTATCTGCATGATGTTTTCATGTTCTCTGTGTTTTGCATGGGTTTCCTCTGGGTACTCCAGTTTCCTCCCACACTCCAAAGACATGCTGCTGGGTTAATTGGCTCCTGTCTAAATTGTCCCTGTATGTGTGCATGTGCTATAGGGACAGGGACTGGTGTGAATGTGCAATGTAAATATTTGGCACTATATAAATACCTGTGATTAATAATAAATAAATGTGGACCATCTGAGTGCTGCTGGTAATGGTGCTACTGCAGTTTTTTTTTTGTCATTGTGTGCAAGAGCTTCTTAATCGTGCAATTAATTAGTGCCTCCTTACCCAGATCAGCCATGCAATCACACTACAGAAGACAGTGGAGTATATTGCCAAACTGCAGCAAGAGAGGGCCAGTGTGTTGGAAGAGACCAGACGACTCAGGGAAGAAGTGGAAGAGTTAAACATTGCAATCAAGTATGGCTTGCCGTTGTCTCCTGCTCTCTTTGTGGGTTGATGTATTTTACGTTGTCAATGCAATGTTATAATTGAGTAAATTGTTTTCCAGTTCCTGTCAGCAGCAGCTTCCAGCCACCGGCGTACCCGTAACTCCACAAAGAACAAACCATATGAGGGATCTGTTTGACAAGTATGTGCAGAGAAGAACGATTCAAAATTGGAAGTTCTGGATTGTATCCCTTTTTGTTGTATTGTGCTTGAATCCTTTAGCTATATCTACCCATAGGAGATGCCTCTAGAATGCCTCATTTTCGGTTTCCTTTAGCAGTTCCTGAACCAGCCATTTACCTGCAGCAACTTTCAGCGCCCCCTCCCCAGCCCAATGCCAGGCTGTTTGAGAGATGGCATCTATTCTTAGAGTTTTTCCCTGTGATTAAGTCCAATGGAATACAGAAGGGGGCCATTTCTCTTCCAGTTGTGGGTTTTCCATTTGGAGCTTGGGCTTTTCAGCATTGCTGTTGAGATTAGCCTGCTAAACATGTGATAAAAACCTAGAGCGCTGCTTGCCATCTGGAGGAAAATATGAAATATACATATGTAATATTCACTTTTTGTCTCACTAAAAACTATTCTAATTAATTTGTAGTCTTCAACATAAGACACAATACAAAACACTGTACATGTCTGTAAGGAGATCGGTCAGATATCTGCAAAGTCCCAGGTCTAGTCACTTGCTACAGCCATTATGATGGGCTCTCACATGATGTGCTAGATTTGTCATGTGTTATATTATGAAAAGGAGAGACAGAGTAATGAGACCTCTTGTTTAGGTGGACATACCCCATTAGATCTGCTCATTCTACCGCACCTTGGTTTGGCCTCATCTAGATTAGATTTAGCAATACACCCCCGGTGCCCAAGCTGCAGTGAAGGAAAAATATTCATTAGAATGGCTTGTATTTATAGTTTTGGTTTATTTCTTTCACTCCTTTTTTTTTTTTTACTCTGCTGTTCATCTCTTTTTGTATTTTTTGGGGTTTTTCTTATGCGTTTTTTTTATCATTTATATCGCAGACAAATATCAGATGTGGCACAGGTAATTTTTAAGGGGGTTGCAGGAAGCCCAAATGTTAAAGGGTAATTACAGTTCCTCACCAAATGTGAGAATTCCCACATATCTGTGCCCTCTGCCCTCCCGCAACTTGTGTACCACCCATAGCAAGAAGCGCTTTTCATCGGTCAGGTGACCATGCTGAACAATGAGTGCTCGCCATTTGTCAGTGCAATTCAAGATGCTCACTGCAGGGCTAAAACTTTGTGTATGGCATACAGTTGGTACACAAAGTTTAAGACCAGAGGTGGAGGGGAGAGGGCACAGATTTGTGGGGGTAATTTCAGGATCTTACATTTGGCGAGGAACTGGGACGGCCTTTTAAATGATTTGTAATGGGGCTGTGATAGTTGTAAACTCTTTTTTTGGTTTATGACCGTCTCCTGTAGCATGTCTGCAGTCTCTGATCATGTCTGCCGCCTGACAGCCTTTTGGTAGCTTAAGGCCTTGTTCACACCAAGCGCCTTCCAAGAGCAGTTACAGACCGGATCAAAACTGCGTCCAATGTATTCCAATGGTATTTTGGGCTCTAGCTCACACCGCGGCATTCAGTTCCAGAGCATGTAAAAAAACTGCAGCAAGCCCTTTTTTACCTGCTCTGGAACGCATGCAAACGCCTTGGAACGCACTAAAAGCCCATTATTAATTGGATATTATTTGCAGCTATTTAGTCATTTGGGGCTGCACTTGAGGCCCCTATATCAAGTAGGTTGGCCACTACTGCAATACACTCTGTGACCGTGTTAGAAAGGTGTGGACATCCAGCATTCAAGCCGGAACATTGAGATCAGTTGGATTGCAATTGTGATCATGTCATGCTTTGACTGATAGAAATATGATTAAAAATCCAGTTATCAAGTCTTTGCATAATGAGATTTTCTGCTCATTAAGGCTGGGTTCACACCTAGGCGTATCGAAAATGCGCGTTTCCAAGGGCTACCTGGCTGTATCCCAATGGATGCGCGCGGCAAATACGCCCCAAAGAAGCTCCTGTACTTCTTTGGGCGGAGGGCGTTTTGTAGCCCGTTCATACGGCCTGTAATACGGCCAGGTGTGAACCATACCCATAGGAAATAATGGGATTTCGGTGTTTGAGCGTTTTGCAGAGCGTAGGAACGCGCTACAAAACGCCCAGGTGTGAACCGGGCCTTAATGTCTCATCTTTTACTTCTTTTTAATGCAACTCTGTCGCTAGTGTCTTATAGTATGCACGCTGTGGTTCCTCCCACTGACCCCTACATTGCTGCTGTATTTGGTAGTGACTTGGGTTTGGTGGAAGGGACCACAGCGACCAGGAAGGGACATGTAATCCAAATCACCAGGAAGGGTCCAATTGCAGCAGTGCCCTAATTGTGATAGAACACCATCCAACTGACTGGTAAGTATATACAACTTGTTTTTCTACAGGGAGCAGCTGCTAGAAATGTAAATACTAGGGACAGGGTCGCTTTAAGCATAATTGACAACCATTGTCCAGTTTAACAATGATAACAGGAAGAATTGTTTGACACACAATAAAAATATTGACAAAGAAAAAAATCTTAAGGGAGCTAAAATACTCACCCAAACCACGATCTTGGCTGGCTCCTAGCTCGGTCCCTGCAACCTGTGATGGAATGTCCCTGGGCATCCTGATGTCCTATACACTGTGTAGGACGAGATGACTCACTGGAGCGGAGGGGGGGATAGAGTCTGCAGGTACCGGTCTAACAGCCAGCTGGGATTGTGGGTTGAGTAAGTATAACTTTTTATCTTTGCTCGCTAGGCAGAAACGAGCACTTAACCCTTACAGTGGGACTACCGCCGTACTGCAAGTGTTAAGATTTTTGGCCCGAAAGTCGTCTTTGATGTAAGCGCTACAATGCCAGTATAGTTGGTGGGTGTTTTATCTATATTTTTCCTTAACCCTTTGTGCACTCAGTTCATCATCATTATAAAACCCTTGTTTGACTCTTTCAATGACGTGGTATCTACAAGTAGCATAGAAGAATTGTACAGCACTACTCTAGAATGGCTGGAACAGCATTGCTCCCTCCCTGCATTGAGGCCCAGTAAGTACATTTCCCAGTAATTTTCCCATGAATTTCTCATTTTAACTTGCAAGTTTATTGACCTAAAATCTAATGATGATGTTTCTTCCTCTAGTGGTGCTAAGTACACTGCGTCATCTGAGCACAACAACGTCTATCTTGACTGACCCATCAAGCCTGCCTGAGCAAGCCAAACAGGCTGTAAGAAGGGACAGTAAGTGTGCTGGTGGAACATAAGCCTAAACTTCCTCTTAAATGGAGAGAAGAGCTTGTGCTGTTACCTTTCATTGCTCTCTGTGAGCTGCATTTCAACACTCCACTCGTGCATCTGTGCTGCTGCAATTGGTAACTGGCCATCCAATGAATCCTTGGCTATCAGGGACAACCTTTATCTCAGCGGATCTGCAAGGTGTCACTTCTGTGAAAAGCAGGAAGAGCTGAAGAATTCCTGCTCTTGGAGCGTCAGAAAAGACAATAAAGATGATTCCAGTGATAAAAAAAAAAAAGTTAAAGGGAATGCATTTCTGTGATGTCATCCTTCATTTTTTTTGTTCTCAATAAATCCCTACGGCCCTTATTTTAAGTGCTTTAAACCTTTCATTGTAGAGGGCCTCATGACTGCCTTCTAACAGTGATTTCAGGCATTTGCTGTGGCTCTAAAAGCTGGAAACTGGTCAGTATATTAGTTGAGCCATTCCTCAATCATTTAACTGTCGCATTATTTGACTCAGGTTTCTGCTGTTGGTGAAAATGCTGCATTGAGGTCTCATGCCAGGGGATTACTTGTTCTTGCACAGTCAGCAGTATAAGCTCTCGGTTGCTGTAAGTCACTTGTAGCTCAGTATGTGCAGAATTCCCTTATAATTCTGCCTTTGCTTATCTGACACCAATCTCTAATAATGTAGACACATTTTTATATTTCAAGGAATAAAATGCACATGTACCATGTTCTCTGTGCATAGAAATATTAAGCAAACTAATTTGCAGATTTGAATATAGTACTTCTACATTTCTCTGGGGGAAAAAAACAGCTGCTTTGACTTATGAAAGATGTCTAGAAAATAAAAACAGGGTATAGTACGTGTGTAACATTGATGGATGCCCCCCTCCAAGCAATGCCTTTGACAGTTTTAATGCATCTTGTTGGGGATTTCAAGAAGGCTTATTCTTAGTAGATGTAGTTGCGGGGTCTAGTAAAACTACCTCCTGTGCTGTGCTTTAAGGGGTAGTATGGAGTTTTAAGTTAGTGACACTATACTCCGGGAGTTAAATCATAAAAATACATTCAAGTCCCCTATTAACAAAAATGTATCTTATGTGTGTATCACTCAGCTGTAGATTCTCAAATCATCTCTGAATTGGTGCCGACACTGTCCTTCCTTCTGGAGGGTTGTGTCTTTTGTTCTCCATGGACCCACCCTGTGTATTATAAAGAAGTCACCGCTCCAAGCTCACTCCCATTATGGACTACAATCTCACATTTAGTTTACTAATTTGTAATGAGATTGTAGTCCCTCACAGGAGTGAGCTTGGAGCGGTGACTACTTTACAACACACACATGGACCATAAGGAACAAAAGTAGCCACCCTCCAGAAGGAAGGACAGTGTCGGCGCCAATTCAGAGATGATTTGAGGACCTACCGCCGAGTGATACACAAATCTACATTTTGTTCATAGTTAAGCTACTTAAATGCATTTTTAAGATTTAACTCCTATATTTAGTGTCACTTTAAAATTGTGATAACTGATAGAAGATCTGCTGTATCTTACAGTGGGGAGAGTACTGGCTTACTCAGCAAAAGTTGTTGAATAACTCATCTAACACTTTGTGGTGGGTGGGATTACATATGTAAAATTGCATGCTATACCTTTCTGACTTTGTTGGCTTCCAAAGAGAGGTCTGATGCCATGTAGCCAGCAATAGGTTTGGAATAAGAGACAGCCCAATCCACAATTACCATTGGAACACACATAAAAATCGGGATGGTGACGCCTTTAATCATATAGACCAAAACATGTCCAGAATAGTGGAGACATCCAACCTGCTATGGTGTCTGATTTTGTTCTAGAAGCTACAAAGAACAGATAAGTATTGCATGTGATTTTACACTATATCCCAAATAGGTTTGCTGTGAGAATTATTCTGACAAAAAAAGTTTACCATGGTTAAAGTAGATATTCTTTAATTAGGAGCAGTGCGGCTTCCGCTGTACTTCTGGGTTGCTTGGATGTTAGCGCTGCAGGTCTCATAGATTCCACCACTACAATCATGTCTCTGCCTCCCTTTCCTCCTGGCTATTCACAAAACAGACCCTGGAGCATATGTATTGGCAATGTCCTGGAGTAGAGGGAGGTAGAGAACTGACCCCGGGGTCTGAAAGCTGTAGCGTTTACATACGAGTTGCCAGGAAGTATTGTGGGAGAGCTCTACTTCCCCGGCATGTAATTGCACACATTTGCTTAACCACTTGCTGACCGGGGTGTGTGTACATGGGGGTGGCGGGGTTTTTTGTTTTTTTTTTACACTTGGTTGCTATCACAAAGGAGGTTAAAAAAAACCCTATGCGATAGTCAAAAAACCATGATATGTCCTCTTTATGAAGACATCAGGGGTCCCCAAGACCCTTAATGTCACTTTGGGACCCCCAAAGAAGCTGATGAAGACAGCTAAAGGTGGAAGTGATGTAATACACATCACTTCCGCCTTCAGAGAGAGAGGAGGAGAGATCAGCGGTGGGGGAAATGCTGATCTCTCCTTCTCTCTACTAGTAGCCGCTGTGCCAGTGTTCTGGGTCCCGGGCACCAAATGGGGACAGCGATGCCAGGGATAACCGGCGGCAGCAACAGAGAGGGGGGCTCCCGCACAGTGCAGGGTCATACAAGCGATTGACCGACTGTAGAGCCTGCCGAACGCTTGTATGTAACGGCTGATTACCTTCCCAGCGGGATTCTGCTTGCGCGCATCCCCAGATTTTAAAAAAATTGTGTCGGTGTACATCCACCTGCCGTGCTTTTACAATGGGCGGACGGCAAGGGGTTAATGTAAAAGAACGTCTGCATGATGGGGGTTGCTTTTGAGGGAAAGTATAGCTGCTTAACCATGAAAAGTTTGTGCCCAGAGCTGGGCTTTAAATGTAGGCATTTCTGCAGCTGGTTTAATGCCGATATCAAATCTTATTCACTTTGGGTTTTCCAGCTCCTTTCCATGGTTTCAGAAGTTTCGCATCCAACAAAGTGTTTCATATACATTTTTGTTCAGTGTTCCCTGTGAATTGTTTTCAATGAGCCTGAAGGTTTCTTGCAGATAGAAATTCAAAATGCTCATCTTTAATAAAGACCATTCATGTCCCCAATGCTCAGACCTATTCTGTTGGCTATCCCTTATTTGAGCTTTGCATGATGTATACGCAGGGGGATAAATGGTCACAATAAAGATAACCTATATAATGATCTAGCGGTATTTGCTTTTTCTTTGCTCTCTGTGCCAGTATTTTAGTGTCCACGATAATTAAAGTATATCTAAACCCATGAAGAAAGAAGTCATATATTAGAATGTCTTGGATATGGTGGGTGCTTTAGTTTTCATATTTCAGGCCAGGTTGATTTTCTGCAAGCACAGAAAAATGCTGTGCTTTACACAACTGATATCTCAAATAATATCAACTCCCAGCTATTTTCTGTGAACGTCACAATCCATTCTCCCTATGGCATGGAGACGAGAGTATGGGGGTGTTTGTAGACCAAACCAGAAGCCTAATCTAGGGTGCTGCTTTTCCGTTGACACAGTGCAATATGTGAGCATTGCCATTCTAGGGCAGTAAGCGTGTTACAGGCTGAATTGCTAGGTAGAAATTAAGTCTGAAAGAAAACCAATGCAGCCACCACATCTAAGGACTGGTAAGCTGCAATATATTAAATTTTTTTTTAGGACTAGATATGCTTTAGGTTACATGAAGAATTATTTCATATTCTTTCAGCACCACAAGTAATCGCTTTTACATTGCATTATACAGAACACGGTGCCATGGGTGCTACAGTTGTCTTGGCCAGCTTAACTTAATGTTTTTGTTTTTTCTCTTTAAGCACAAAGCAAAGTCATTGTTAATGAAAAAGCGATATTTGATATGGGCAAATGTCTCAGTATGTTGTAAATATATATATATATATATATAATGTGTTGTGTGTTTTGTATGTTTTTCATTATGAAAATATGGTGACGTAAAATGATTTCTAAAATGCCTTTTTCCCATTGTTATAACCTGATTGAAATCTGTCACCTGTTACTGTTTATTATGCCCCCTCCCCAACAACTGCACACAAAGAAAACCTAACTGCATATATATCTTAAACAATTTTACTTTGCTGATGGAGGTTCTTGTCCCATGCATGGGTTTAATGTTTACCAGCAATGCAATAAAGCAATAAACATTTGACCTCAAATGAGTTGGTGTTTTTTAATCAATTCCATAATTCTATGATTTCTTAAATATGGCTTTCGGTGATCTGCATTGTTTATATGGTAACACATTTTAATTCAGTTGAACAAAATGAGAAGATATTTTATTGAAAGATAAATCGGAAAAGGTAATCATACTCACCGTAGTTTTCTTTTCCTGTTTATACTCCATGGCAGTGCTGAAAAATGGGTTTAGTTCCAAATACTCCCAGATGGCAGGAACCGAAGGGTTAAAATAAGGCATTCATCACTCTATAAAGCCCCTCATTCCAATGACTTTCCCAGTCTAGTAACATGCTAAATAATCCCATAGGGTGGGAGCTCAGTGCTGCCATGGAGTATAACCAGGAAAAGATTCTAAGTCATTTTTTTTTCAACGCTGATTTCAAATATGAAATAGGTTTTCCTCTGCTTGCTCTAGCTTTCATGCAATTTGAAACTTTTGGCAGAAGGACACCCATTGCTATTTACACTAGGGATTGCTTGGGAACTAGGCTTACATCTACCGTTACCTTGGAATAATTAGGCAGACTTTTTTTTTTGCAAACAATATTCTTTTTTTGGTTTGTTTTTTTTTGTTAGAGATTTATCTGCTCTACTTGATTTTCTTGAGGAAACAGTTTGTGAAGGCATTAAGTACGAATGGTGAATGTTTTCACTGTATAGTTTCTGCTTTTCCTGATTTTGTCTTTCAAGAAGATCAAAGCAGGTGTGTTCAATTGACCTCAAATTCATGCCCTTGTATGTGATGACGAATTTGTCAGGAAGATGAATAAGGAGAGGGCAGCATGGCTGTCTTTTGTGGCAGTTATACAAAACAAGGTAACAAAAAGGTAGATAACTGAGATTCTTGTTACTAGAATGCTGTTGGAGTGTCAAGCTCCATTTCCTGAATAGTCACCTTGATCAATTCCCTGAGAACCTTGGGGCTGTTGGTGAAGAACAGGAAGAGTGCTTCCATCAAGACCGCATGACGATGGAACAGCACTATCAAGGGTGATGGGACAAAAATACTACTGCTGGAACATAGAACAAGATTGCCCTCAAAGTCCACAAACGCCACAGCTACACATGCAAATTCTTGCCTGAATAGGACATATTGGAACTTTGCATCCCATCCTCATCAGTTGTTCTAAATCACCTATCATCTTTGTCAATGTTTTAATTTAAAGGAAAAAGCATTAGTGCATACTCATATTTGACTATAATGGATAAAGGTTTCAGATTTGACAAGTTGTGCTGCATTTTACTCCACACAAGTTTGTTTTTTGCCTTTTTTC